TTTATTGTCTGGTTTGATACCCTACAATTTAATCATAAAATTAAAATACATAAAAAACAAATTTTAAAATTATTGTGATCAATTTAGTGTCCACTTGAACATACACATTGGAATTCCCTTCCAATTATTCAAATTGTGAGTGAACTAATTTAACAACTAAGTTCTGTATATTTCATTAAAATATTCCACTCATTTTTATTATATTTCAGTTGTGAGATTATCTTAATCAACACCAACCCTCATGATGCAGACAGACTTCATGACGAGTTTGACACCGTTAGGGGGGTTAGCCATGGCCTTGACTACCTACCCTCATAATACAGACAGACTCCATGACAAGTTTGACACCATTAGGGGGGTTAGCCATGGCCTTGACTACTTACTTTCATGATACAGACAGACTCCATGACGAGTTTGACACCATTAGGGGGGTTAGCCATGGCCTTGACTAGAGAGATGTCGTTCTGTTTCAGGGTGTCCAGGGCAGAGATAGCTGCATTCAGGGCTGGCATGGCGATCGCCAGTTTGGCTTCACATTCATCCTACAGAAATAAAAACCAATGTTAAACTTCAGTACAATTTCATTCATGTCAACTGAGTTATTCTATCATAACAATAAATACTCTCAATTTCCAACTTTCTTTTTTTTTTTAAAGGACTTTATTTTTTAATTTAACATGTTCATAACAGTGAATTAAAAGAAATATAAAAAAATTTTTGTCTGCAAGAACATCTTTGGTATCTTGTCCATTAAGATTTTACCAAAAGGGAATTTCTGTCAAATTCTGCCTTTCAAAGTGTGCTGAATTTGTTCACATATCTATTATATTAATCTTTTTCTCTGAAAATCATCCTAATTTACAAATTTTTTTTTGAATAAACAGACAGTTGTTGAACCTTCATCACTTCTACCTACATTACTTCCCAGTGACCTTGACCTACCTTGATGGCCTTGGCCTCCATGGCTGCGTTATTGGCCACCACTTCGTCCGCCTCTACCACCTTTTTGACAGCCTCGACCTCCACGCTCTCTTTGCTGATGAACTCTATCAGCTCCGCGGTCTCTTTACTCGTTTGCACCAGTTTGGGCCGAAGCTCCACCAACTCCTGTTGCATGATACTGACCTAAATAAAGTCCATCAGAAAAATAAGTCAAAAAGGTCAGTAAAAAACATTTATAAGGCAAAATCTATCATTCTGTCCAAGAGACCTTAAAAAAATATGATTCTGAAAGCTATAATGGTTATATTAACAGAACAATGCAAAAATTTAGATAAATCTTGAAGGATCTATACTTATGTGTACATGAATAGAATTTAGCAATAATCATTCCACTACACTTCAAATTTTGTTCTTTTGATCTCAGATTTGTGACTTATATTACCTGATTTTCTGAGAACTCTAACTTTTCCAATCCCACTATGTAGCGATTTTTCAGGGTCAGAATCTCCATTCTTTTCTGGTCTAGCAGGCTTTTGAAGGTTTTGATCAGTTCTAGGTATGATGTGGGGGTGACATAATTCTGACGCCTCATTGTTTCATAATACCTGCAAAACATTAGCAAGGGTTAAAATTGGCATTCTGATATATAAATTGTAACTATTTCTTTCTGACCTAATTTTACTGTATTTAGTGATCCCCCTGCTTAGTGGCATACTTACCTCTAAAGATTATCTCCCTTGAACACTCCCAAAGAATTGCCAAAGCTTTCCATGACATGTGGCCTCAAATTATTGGTCTCATACGAAACATTCAAATCTTTTCATTCAAAGATCATTAACCACTGACAAATGAACAACAGCTAACTACTTTTTATCTAGATTGGTCAGTTTGGACTTCTTGATCACTGAGCATGTGCACATAATACTCAATCTTCAATCTACTCACCTTTCTGACAGCATTCTGACACTCTGATGGAAATGTTTACACATGAAGATTGTCTGGGTCCTCACTTCGTCTGACATCTCCACGTCCTCTAAGAACTTGTTGGCCACCAACTCCAAAGCATCCTCTGGCCAAGGCTACAAACAGAATCAGTTCCAGATTTATTTTCTACCCTCAGTCATCATATTAAATAATTCATATCATCAGAGTCAACCTCAAACTTTTATATATCCAATGATTCAAGACATAGTTAGAGGCTGAAATACACATTACATAAAAAAAAGTGGTTGGGTCAATATTCAAGACACTGACACTGGGAATTCTAAAGTTCAACTGTAATTGAATTAAAAATTGTTTTTGTACTGTAACAGTGCTTGCAAAAACTTGCATATTTTACTTTTTTTATAAGACATTTAGTGAACAATATAATGAACTGTAAAGCTTCAGTCTCCTCTGACTCCTACCTTGAACCAGTCGATGGTGCAGCAGTTGATGAGGGAGGGAAACATCCTGATCCTATTCCTGAAGTTATCTCCAATAGGACTGAAGGCCAGGACCACATGAAGGTTACGCCGGATACGCTCTATAAACATGTTGTACATATTCAGGGGAGTCATCTCTATCTGTAAGTTCTGCTGCAGGGCCAACTGCTGCATCTACAGGTCAAATAAAACAGACAGGTGAAAAGTCTGGTCTTCAGAAACTACATGTATTAACTTATGTTTAAGAGTTAGGAATTGCAGACAAAGAACATTTTTTAAAACTTTAAGGTTACCTCAAAACTCATCCAGATTTACCAGAACTTAACATTTAAGCAATGCCATCAAATTAAGGTTAACTGCTTATTAATGTCAAAATTTCATTTCATGAGTTGAATGTTGAAAACCTATTCTCCCTGGCATACCTTTTCAATAATTTCCAGTCTCTCTTCATTGTCGTACAGGTTAGGGATGTCTCCAGTGTTCAGTATCATGTTAATGTCCTCCAGGAAAGACTCATCCTAAAACAAAATCTCAGTATATAAATATCATCGGGCCAAAAAAGTGTACAATCATATATAAAGGAGAACAGATTTTTTTGTGTTCAGTGTTCATATCTTCAATTGCATGAAACTTCTGTATATTTGTATGCAATTCCTATAAATTTTATCTAGCTAGTAATGAAACATGTCTTGAAAAATCAATTATCTCTATGGTTTACAAAATAAAGAACCCAGCATGTTAAATCTAACAAGAAATAGTCACCAATGATAAATTACCAGCTTGATACATAATATTCTGCAGTTTTTTGGTCAAACAGTGAGATACATTGATATCCTTACTTTAATCTGGTGGTCTCCAAACAGGAACACCATGGAGGTACCCTCGTCTCCCGCCCGCCTCATGAGGCGTCTCAGGTCCTCCCTCCATTCTGAGGTGGTGTAGTTCTTGGTGATCTCAATTTGGAAGAGTTCAAAGTCCGACATGAAAGCAGCCAAGCGTGAAGAACTCTGCCTCCCACTACCACCAATACCTAGTCAAGCAGAAAAAGAGTTTTCATGGAGCCACTTGTTTGTGTTTCAAGATTTGAATTCTAAAGAGTATTCTAGCTAAACTTTAGCATTAAATATCCTCAATTATGTCTCTCATAGCTTATAAGAAAGAGTCTGCCATTTTTTAAAATACACAATACCAGAAATCTCAATAATTGACATGGCAACTTTTAAAATTCTTACTGAAAACAAGTGTTCATTTTTTCAGATTCAATCCCCCCTCCCCCCATTTAGTTTTACTGGTTCCAGTTAAGTGATCAAAAACACAATTTTGGAATTTTTTTTTGCAGATAAAATGAAATCAACTAATTAATGTCCAGACTGACCAACAAGTAGACAGTGACCGCTGGGCTGCTTGAGAACTCGACTGATTCGGGAGATGTGCTCTATGGCAAATCTGAACATGACTAGATTCATAGGAGCCTTAAACATCATGTTGTACTCCTCCAGGTACATCTCAATGGCCTGAAAAATAAAAATTATCATTATTTAGGGATTCGGAAAATGTAATGCTTTTAAATGAAACCTTCAATCATCATTAGATATACGTGACATACATGTAGTATCTTTGTTCACTTTCAACATTGAATATTTTTATCCATATTTCTACAGCATATTAAATTTTGCATTTGATCACTTGATTGTACATTTAAACTCTTGTGAGTTTTGAGCATCTATCACCTTTGACCCCTGAACCCTCACCTCTTTGAGGTCACTGAGGTTGAGTATTTCATCGTAATATTTCTCCTCCTTGCCCTTTGACAGATAATCTCCGAACATCAGACTTCTGATATCGTCATCAGTGACCCCTTTAGACGAGTCGGCCATGATGTGAGAGAACAGTGTGTTTATCTTCTCTTTGAACTGACTCTCCACACAAGTCTGTCAATCAAAAAAAACATGGTCATAAAAAATTATCATTAATGTATGTTTAAGTTTTGTCCCCCAAGTTTTTTCTGCTCTGTTTTTTCTATCCCCACTGGTTGAAATTAAGACTTAAACATCATGTACACAGGGAAATTTTCCACTTTTTGAAATTCTCATCCATTTTGTCAGTGAAGTCAACTAAAACAGAGTTAACTCCCTTTTTAACATAACTTGGCCTAAGAGAATATAAAATGGAAGTGTGATTAGGCAATATTAACACTGTTTACAGTTTAGAGCAAAACAGTTTTGGCTAATTCATAAAAGACTGGAACAAAATTCTTTCCCACTGCATTTGTACAAAATTACTTGTCAAAAAACCTGCAGTGTGTATGTATGCAATGCCAAGCTAACTTACTTTGACCATCTTGAAGAACATTTCACGATCCTCTTCGTTGATAAGCCTGTCATAAAACACTCTGTAGACCTCGTGGACCCACAGTCTGACGATCTTCTGTCCGTTCTCCATGCTACCTTCCGACACCACCCCTGGCTTCAGGAGCAGGACCCCCTGTAAAACAGACCCATGCATTGCATAAATAAAGTCATACATGAGAAACCAGTACTACTTTTCTTTTTTGCCATTTACAGAAATATAACCGGAAAATCAATCTCATAGAAAGAAAGGTAAAAGAAAGGTACAGAGTCAGAGAACCACAATCAAATTAAATATTTGGCTACTTGGTGATCATGCAGGTTAAGAACTGCTTCCTCCTGACAAATTACTAACAGTTAAAATTCAAATGCCAGAGGACAGGAAAATGCATGTACAACAAATATAGTCGACTCTTGAACTATACTTACCTGAACGACACGAGAGAAATCTCGGAGGTTGAAGACGTAATGTGACCTAGAGGGTGTGGGCAGGAAGTTAGCTATGGCATTGTTGTATATCTCTAGTGTACTGGTCAGAATTATCTACAGAAGAAAGTGTATACATTGGAAACACGAGGTACATATCAAGGATTTCTCAACACAATAAAATTTTGACTATAAATGAGACTACAAATAAATTTGGTCATTTACTTGGCTGCTCACACTATTTTGCATCACATAAAATGCTACATAAACATAAAAGATGTGCAAAAACAAGTTTAGATGCAGATCTAGATATCTATAGTAATATAAAAAGCAATGCCAAGTTCCATTACTTTTATGAAGAAACTTCTAAGACAATTCACAAAATATTACATCACAGTTAAATTACATGTATTGACTAAAATATTACACTAAGTCTATAACTTAAAATACCCTACTATTTGACATTTTAAGGACAATATCAAAACTTACCCTTGAAAATTTCCTTAATGAATTTTCAAAAGTCCTGAAATGCCACTCAATGATAGGAGAGAAAATATTTTTCATAGTGTCCTCATCAAAGGACTCAATGCCGATGATATTAAAATGTCTGAGGAACCGCGGTGTCACATTGTTCCTGCCACCGCCTGGTGGCCCCATGGCGGAGACCATAACAATGTCCACTAGTTCCAGTATACTGGTGTCCTTCCTGTCAAACCAGTAGCCCTGGTCTATCCACTGTCGGAGGATTTCTATTGGGGGCTGGGCTCCATATTTCTCTTTGGCCGGCATGTTCAGGTCATCCACAAAGACCATGAGTTTCTTTCCCAGGGTTGGACCATACACACCCTTTTTCCTTCTGTAAATCAGAAATATTTGGAATATGATTTATATATTGATATTTTTTGGTGGATCAATATTTTTAAAATATATTTTATTTTCCTTTAAGGTTCATCACCCCTCTTCTAAGAGAGATAACTCTCAAACAAGTGACTATTATTTAATTTTCAAAAGTCTATTTCTGTAAGATTTGGTCTCTCAATGCAGGTTGAAATTGAATTCACTTTTTTCAACTACATCTTTTTGCAAGTCAATAGCTTTGTATAGGAGAACACAAGGACAAACAACATTAAAATATCTATAGCATTATCAATTATAATATTCTTTACAAAAATTTTTCCAATATCTTTTCATTATCTGCAACAATACTCTATAAGCAATTTTTATAAATTAAAAACAAATAAAAAATACACTTAATAACAAAAGATAAACTCTGACCTATCAAGTTTGGAGAAGATGATATCTTGCGTTTGATTGGCCGAGGTCTGAGCTGAGAAGTTAATATTGCTGATGATGTACTTGTCCTTGGGTAGCTGGAGGAGATAACTATTGGTGATGGCTGACTTCCCCGTACCCGTGGGCCCCACAAATAGCAGGGGCTTGTCCTGCATCAGGAAGCGCTCCAGGAAATACTTCTGTCGCTCCGTCTCCACCGTGTTAATTATTAACTCGTTAATCTGTTTAATGAGTCAAGGGAAAAATGATAAAATACAAGTTTATTATTGCAATATATTACAAGAGAAAACAAACACCAATTATATAAACATATAATATAGACTGTTGTACAATATACAGTATAAGACAACCTGACAAATTTAAAAGTGCCTACAACTGCATATAATTATGGAAAAACATGCACTTTGTCCTATTCTTGAAAGCAATTTACTATTGATGTTTTATGTGCAATTACTTAAGGACGGAACTTCAAATAAATCATTTGCTAATTATGACATTTAAATTTTCTACATTAATTGTTAAAATTTCCATGCACTGATCTGCCTTCATGATTACTTATTGCATGCAAAAGTTATTAATAAATAATAACTAATTTGTTGCCATTTTGACCTTGCAACTTGATCTTGAGATGCACACTGCAATTATGAATTAAAACTTGATACTAGCTTAATGTATTAATAAAAAGGCTTTTTAAAAAAATCACATAAACATAAAATTACATGTAAGATACATGATAAGATATTATTTTGAATATTAACAATTAATAAAAAGTTGGATCCCCCCTGTGCTTACCATGATGCGTAGATCTCTGTCTTTCTGCCAACACCATTAATTAAACAGTGAATGAATGAAAGAGAATATTAGTCAAGGTTAAATGCAAAACACACACACAAACACAATATTATCAAACTGTGATATGGGTTAAAAAAAAAATTATCATTGGCAAAATTTCGGGGAGCAAAATTGAAAATTTCTTTTTCATAAGCACACATCTAAAGAATTTGTGGATCAATTAAATTATCGAGTGTGAAAATTTAAGAAAATTAAATCTTATCAAAATTTACAAAATTAATATTATAAAATGAATACAGATGTTCTAAAAAGCTAGATCTAAATTTGAGAAAAAAGTTTGCTATAAACAAATGGCTTTTTTTTTCTATATATCAAGCTACTTACTGGGTTGTGAGAATTTGCAGGGAAATATCTATGACGGAAATTGTGAAAATGCTCTAACAGCAGGGAAAAAATGGTGGTTATATTTATACAATTAAGTCATCAATACCCTACTTCCTACAAGAATGTGTTTTTCATATATTTGCGGAAAATCTTTACTGATAGATCATGCAATATGCATAGTTAAGCATGCAAAGTTTCAGTCCTGCATGCAATATGAATTATAACATGCTACTGGGTTCATGCAAATTACATGCAAAAAAAGTTTAAACTTCACAAGAGATGTTACTCCTCAGGACAAATTGTGTTTAAAATACAGTATATTAAGTATGAAAAGCTACAAGTGCAATCTACACAGTTCGTACAATGATTATTCCTCTAACAAGACAATATGTTCTTGCATTTTAATAATGTAAATTTTTTTTCTAAAAGTCACGATTCAAAGTGTCTAGTCATATTCAATACTTGACAACATAATGAACACCATGCTCATGGCTATAAAATGGTGTGAGTATATTTGACACTTTCAACATTTTACACATAACATTACAGATCTTACCGCATCCTGCGTAGTTGCAGACTGGGGTCTGTTCTATTTATTGTTTTGAATATCAGAAATTCCAAAATGTATTATTGTCAATGGCAATTAATATTTGAATTTCTTTCGAGTTTCACTTTTTTGCAGAAAAATAGCTTTATATTAGACCATTTTCATGCACATTTTAATTTTTAAGTCAAGATTTCAATAAAATTGAAGGGTGCAATTTGTATCCAATTATTCTAGTTACTCAAAGAAATGAGTTTTAAATCTTGTCATTAATTAATTCTTTAAATTGAATAAATGTACTATATATCATAAAACATGCATATATATAACGTACTGCAATATAATACAGTGGATCCCGCTTAATCTGATAGTAACTTTGTCAGCCTTCTGTTATCAGAATAGCCGAATATTGGAATAGCCGTTTTGCTCCATTTCGAGTCCATACAAAGATGTATAGAGCTACATGTATTGACAATGCATTGTAACAAACAAACTTGCATTTTCGTTATCGTTTGATTACTTTTATTTATAAAATAAAATGTTAAACTTACTCATCAATTTAATATGATAACAATTTTTCAATAAAATGAATTATAAAAATTGTTTTTGATAGTTATTGCCATCTTTAATCAGCACATGTTTACATTCCTTCTTCGATGGCCGCCATTTTGGAAACGGAAGTAGACTAAATGCCAGACTTTATTCCATAATTTATTTTTTTCCCCGGATAAATGGTACATTAATATTAAACAAAAATATTAAATTGTTTTGTTTTATTTGTTTCTTTAGTATGGTTATGTATTTGATACTGTTTGTGACAATTCTCAAGTCAATAGTCCTGTAAATATCATGCATTTCAATGTCCCAGCAAATTGTAATACACAAGCTAATACGTTCAATAATTAAAATCTAGCTTTAGAAAAAGTTGCAAACAATTATCATAATTATCGACTACATCACTTAAAAGTAATTTAAACCCAAGCTGATCATCATAACTGTATCAAAACATGTCAATTTAGTTTGCCAATTATTAACACAGGTAAGGTAACTGCGTGCGTTCAGCCGTAACTAATCCCCTCATTATCGTACTCAAGTGTCAGACAGTGTAAACAAAGGCTTCACTAGGGAAATTAGAGGTGTGAACAAGGTCATAATTATCAAAAAATACTACGATAGACCAAATTTTTGTATCAGATAAAACGAAATTCTGATATTTTCTTATCAGAATATCAGGTGAAATTATTAATAAATATATAAGAAATGGTTTTGTGCCCTGATATTATATTGAAATAGCCGAAATATTCGTTTAACCGCTATCCAATTAAGTGGAAGCCACTGTATCAAAATGTTTGAACTATAGAAAAAGAGGAAGCTAATACATGTATAGAACTACTTTTATTCATTTGCATGCATGTTTCCTTGGTTACCTTTACTTCCTGTCAAATGAAACACAAACTATTATTTTCTTATCCCTGATTTATTTATTTATAAAATGAGCATTTTGTCGTAAGCATTTCAAATTTTTCATCATCAAAGGGTTTTTAACTTAAAATATTCAGGGTAAAAGCAAATCTAGAAAAGCTGATAACACTTAAAATAGAAAAAAATTGGTAAAAAGTGAATATGAAAACCAAAACCCAAGCAACACAGCACAAACTTTCCAGGTAAATAAAGTTTAATCTACTTGTATTTCTTCATACATAATGCATAGATATAAGCTACCTGTTTTATTTATCATTTGTAAGAGTTGACATTTCAAAATGGCCAAAATTGTCACTAGCAGTATTATAAGGAATATGTCCTTGTCAAAATAATGTAACTTATCCCCTTTAAGGGACTAAATGTCCGATTTTCTTAAAATTATACATCAAATTGAAACAGATTCAGATCATATCCTTAAATCTAAATTATTATAGTTCTTATGTGTTAGAAATTTATTAATCAACAGTGAATAAAGGTTAAAAGTGAGAATTAATAGGCCCACAAAATACATCAACATGAACTCACAACCAGAGTTCTGTCCCTTAATTGACGGACTTTATTAATTAATTACCTTTGCTTTCTCGTCGATGTTGAGCGGAGTAATTAGATTGGTCCACTTGTACCACGACCCGTACTGCTTCCTCAAGTAGACAAAGTCGTACACAGAGCCGTTCTTTGGTATCTTCAGATTGTTGGCGAATTTCAGATCTTTGGGTCTGCAAAAACAAAATGTTAACCACTTGTTGTTGAGAGCCTGTGGTTGAATTTGAAATAATGTTTCTTTTGTATATTTGTAATATATCTATTAAATGATGATTATGAATTAAATAAAAGAGAGATATGCCGGAAATAAGGGGAAAAAAAATTTTTTATGATGATTTGAAAAAAAATGTACAGCTTTTCATCTCTGACAAATTATGTTATTGTAATAGCTAATTTCAATTGAATCTGCTTGCTATAAGAAAAAGAAATTTCAATCATGATCAAGTTGATGGATATATAGAACTAACCAAATTAACATATACATGTACTAATTAAAACACTCAAAAAGTAGACAGAAACACAGTCATATACTAAGTAAATTACTTGTTCAAGAGTTTAAAAATATGGAATCAGATAAAAATCTGTAATCAGTATTGAATTACAATAGTTTTTACACTACAAATAAGATAAGTGTTTTAAAATCAGCTGATTTTAAGTTAATTAACACACACAACACATTATATACTACTGGGAAAAAATGAAATTGAGGACTATGGCTAAGCACACAAAATAACTAAGGTTATTTATAAAAATTTCTTCCAAGACCCAACTTAAATTATATAATCAAGATTTTGACTAATAATAATTTAAACACAACCATGATTACTTTGAAACAAATTCTAAACAAGAGGCCCATGGGCCACAATGCTCATAATCAAAGTCATTACCGTAAATCTGGAAATTTTTACTGTAGATAAATTTTTAGCAAATTTGCGCGTGCATGGAATTCGCAAAAATATTTTTCTTAAAAATAAATCAACATGCGAAGAATTTTTTTCTGAGAACTTGTGTCTTTTTTTAACTCTGTGAATAGGTGTCGGTAAGCACTGGTCATTTTTAAAAGAAACCTGTTTACACTAGTCTACTATAACTACAAGTTAATTACCCGTGCGTAAATTGCCCTCATTATATGCGATATCGTCCGATGATTTGACAAGCACTGAGGCGGTATGCCCGTTTTTAATTATTTTAATCAATTAATTTGCCAATAAAGAGATAACTGTCATTTTATCTAACCGTGTATCAACACGGGCGATAACTCAAACTACTAGAAAGTTCCAAATGTAAACGCGGTGTGTAAATTTTAGGTGAGAAAAACCAAACGTTGAGAAAATTAGTTATATTTTTTCTTCATTTGGATTATACTTTAGGTTAAAAGGCATACACAACCTCTAAAATGTTTGTTATACTTGAGTTAGAAATTATTTTCAGTGCAAATTAATCCTTTTGTATTTTTATCAAAAAGCGATTTTGCAATATCTTGCCACGTTGTGAGTATATTGGTGGTATTCTAACTGGGCATATTATTTGAAACATAACCTGATATGAAAATCTTCAGTGATTTTAATTTTTAGCACCAGTGACAATTCGCAAAAATTTGAAGCGTAAAAATTAATCAACAGCTTTTTGACCCGAATTCACAAAAATAAATCGACGTAAAAATTTCCAGATTTACGGTATATCAATATATGACCCATCTGTTCTTTATCAGATTTATTCACTTTAAATAAAAATCCTTTGGAAAACTTTGATCACCTTTTGTGCCCCTCATCTTCCCTTGAGGATGGTGACTTTACCAAACTTACATCTATTCTTTGTAATGAAGTTTTATTTTTCCAGCCAATGGGTTCTACAGAAGTTTTTTTAAAATTAAGACATGAACAATTAAAGTTTTGCCTATTCTTAACCAGCTCCCCTTGATAGAGAGTGTGGTCCTCCATTTGAAGAAACTTGAATCCTTTTAAAAATTCATACAAATAAATTATATTGTTTTTGGCCAATTTGTTGAAATTGGCCCGGGGTTCTGGAGAAGAAGATGAAAATGTGAAAAGTTTACAATAAACATCGACAACGGACAAATTTTGATGAGCCTTTGGTTTTTATAGATGACATTTAAATAAACCTAAAAGAAGCAAGTATGAACCTGCATGCTGCAAAATTAACCAACACCTTTTTTCCCCAAAGACAATTGTGTTTCTGATTAAATAATAATTACTTTAACCAAAGCCCAAATAATAAATTGAGCCAAAACCCATGCCAATAACATTAAACCTCTGCCCAAAAGAGAATATAAATAAATGTTATGGTACATGTGGAATCCATGAGGAAAGGGATATCTCTAGGGAATGTTCATGCTGTTATGATTTTGTGACTTATAAAAAATTTGGGAGGGGTGATTGATTGGAAGTTTGGAACACATGCATACTAAATGATAAACACTCAAAATTTCCAAGTTTAATCATAAATTTTACAATTGGAAACTTTGAATGAAAATGGTGGGAAAATTTGTCAAATTTATCAGGTCATGGATGGTTTATAAGGACCAATCACATCTCATTTTATGTCACTCATTTCCACACAGTTTGTCAAGATTGGTTAGTATGGTGCAAAGCCTATCCTAATTTTTATCACAATCTCAGTCACATGAAATGAAGGCCCAACCCACCAGTCACATGACTGGATGGACCAATCAAATTCATGCTTACATACTTACTTTTCTATCTTTTTTCCAACCCTATTGAAATATTCATTTAGGATATGATGTCATAATTAAAGAGTCAAGCTTAGCATTCTGAGAAAATGCTGTTTATGCTTTTGGAAAAAAAAAATTATCTCAGAAGTTCAAAGCAAGTTAAACAACTAAAATTTCCACAATTTTGCTTATGTTATATGTATATACAGTTCAAATTCTGATGCTGGTGAAAACACAAATATGCTACAATAGTATTTGTGCACATGATGTGAAATAATACCAGATTACAAAAATTGAGTGCTACTGAGAAAGAAGTCTGGCACATAATACACAAACTGAAATGAAAAAGTGTGAGTTCAAGCACCGCTCTAACTGCAAGAAAGAAATGCATTAAAGCATTGCTTATGGCCTAGCACTTTATGTCATTAAATGATTACAATAAAAATGTTTACCTAAAGAAAAACTCAATAAGCCTTTCATTCATATACTTCATTTAAAAGATTTCTCCAAATCATTAATAATGTTTATTTAAAATACTTTTTAATCTGACAAAATTCAATGAGCAAGAAAATAAAATAATCACCTTGGATATTTTGAGGTGGTTCCATCCATGTCACAAAGCCCCTTGAAGAATTCATCGAACTTGGTGCGGGAGTTGGCGTCCAGTGTACCCCCAATGGACCAAACCATGGAGAAGAAGAAGTAGGCGATCAGCATGGCCGTCCTTTCCTCGATGATTTTCTGGTCTGTGAGGGACTTCTCCTTGGAGCCCTCATCATCAGAGTCCATTCCACCTCCTCCTTCTTCGTCCTCCTCCACAAAGGCCTCTTCTTCCTCTTCATCATCGTCCAAACCAAGTCTTCTGCAAAGCAAGAATAGAAGATTACTGCATGATGTAAATGGTAACAAGATGATCAAGGGCTAAAATGTTCAACAACGAAGCTTAAACCTGTTTTTTTTTTCCTTTTCTGTCCTATTTACAACAAAACTCATTTACACTGTAGTACAAACACAGATATTGCTAATTCAGGGATATAGCGAAATTATCTTAAATCCCCAGCTGTATAATTTTAATAAATTCCTTATACCGATATAACAAATTACAGATATAATGAAGTAATTTCACAGGTCCCAGTGACTTTGTTTTAACTGAGTTTTACTGTTTGGTAATTTGTAAGAACTAACATTTTTTGGTACTTTGGCCTATGAAATGTCTGATACTTCAAATATCATTTCAAGAACTCAGCAGTTAAGAAGTTACCTGACATCCTCCATCATACAGCTATAGAGGTTCAGCATGCTGGCTGTCAGATGCATTGGGTGACACGTCAGAAGACATTTACAATACTTGGACACAAAATTCAAACACGGCTCCAGCATCCACTCAAACAGCATCTATTAATAGATAATTCATTGTATTTAATACTCAATATTCAGTAAAATTTTAGTGAGATGCAAATTTAAGTTTTTCTTTAAAAATTAGCTAACTCAACACCCTTGCTAAAAATGCCATCAAATTCTTTCTAAAGTTTCTGCATGAAATTTAAAATAAAAGATTGAAGAAACCATAGACATTTAATACTTAAAATGCACTCATTTCATGCTGAAATAAAACGCTCTTCTGTGTACCTTGATGGTGTCTTTCTGTTCCCATGTGAGGTTATTAGGGAGTTCATACTCCATCCAGGACTTGATTAAAGCATTATATCCCAGCTGTAATGGGTCCATGTAAATCATACCACATCTGTATCAAACCAGAATATCAATTATAATTCAATAAATTCTTTTTTCTTTCACAAATTCTGGATGGACATTGGACAACTACAAAATCTTAACAATTGATTGCACTTTATACCATATCAAGTCAACACTTGCAAAAATGTCATATCTGATCTAAATATTTCCTTTTAAAAAAATAAACATATGATGCATGGACGTTGATATTGTGAAACAAAACTAACATCCATGCTTGACCCTTTCCTTCTCAAATATTACAAAGACAAAAAAAAAATGCTGTCTTTCAATCAAAACAGAAAAGAGACTTCTAAAATTAAAGCCTCTTGATTGAAGGATTAGGAATTTTTTAGAATAACTCTATGACCTGCTGACTGTGGCGGGGGATGCCTGCTCAAGGTCCATGGCTTCAAAGATCATGTTCTGTGTGTTGTTCATCTGGATAATCTCTCCACTCATCAGGCACAGCTAGAAATAAATACATGATAACTTACTCACACTGACAGAGGGGACCATGAAGCAAAGTATCTCCATTCACCATGATTTCAACTAAAAAAGCACATTTTTTTTAACATCTTAATAAAATTCTGTATGCATCACTAAAATCCATTAATTTTCCTTGACATATGCATTTACAGCATTGAAATTTCTGAGGCATATATTTACTTTAAAAAAAAAAACATGCCCATACAACAAACAAGTTTTGCACTGTTTTACATGTACAAGACCATGATTAACTCTGACCTTTTTATTGTCATCAAGCACCGTATTCATGTTCTCAATCCACACTGCATCCACCGGTCCGTCAAAAATAATCCACTTCCTGTCTGGAGATGTGTTAGAGGCATGCTCCCTGAACGTGTTAGCCAGAACACCTATAAACATATACAGGAACATCGTCAAAGGATGAATTGTCTCTGACCTAAGCGACTATTACTGCATCTCAGCAGCAGGTTTTTTTTTCAATCTTATTTGTTAGGAATTCTTTCAAAAAACTTTGTACTCACCATCAAACCATTCATGGGAGACAGGATCAAATCTACCATACAACTGTCCCATGGTGATGGCCTTGGGATTAATTATGGAGTATATCACCTACAAATCAAAATAATACAGTCAAATAGTCATAAAACTTACTTTCTTATTGAAAACTTACACAAAAAAATTTGACATAAGTCCAAAATTGTTTATTACTTCCATAGCAACAGATTTTAGAGCAATATATTTACCTTGTTTTCCTCCATGAGTCCTTTGTCATGCATTACATGAAGGGCCTCAGTCAGGATCTTAAAGGCTGAGGTCTTCCCCCCAAGGGGATCCCCAACAATCATCAGACCGTGTCGTACCAGGATCATATCATAAATCTAAAAATAGATCAACAATCATCAGACCGTGTTGCGCAACGATCATATCATACATCTAAAAATAGATCAACAATCGTGATCATATTAATTTCCACTTTTTCTAATAGAACAATACATGATTTCCTCAATGTAAAACATCATCAATACCTGAATAATTTTATCAAAGAAGCACAATTACATAACCTTGATAATATTTTCATAAATCATGTTTTGTAATACTTTATTTCTTAATAATTGTCACATGATTATTACCTGGATAATTTTCTCAATGAACCATCCTTCCGCTTGGAGTTTTCGTTTTAAGATGTGCTCTTTCAGGGCCTCCTCCAGTTGACCGTAGTCCGCCTCTGGAAGATCTACTCCAGGGAACAAGTCAGAAATGATGCCTTGGAACAGGGGAATATCATGGGACAAAAACTGAAAGAAAGAGCAGTTATCCTCAAAATGCATAGAAATCAAATGAAAATTTGACATTTTCATTAATCTAGATTCTTTATCAATTAGGACAATTTGCTTACTAGAAACAAAAGAATCAGTATTAGAGAGGCACAACTTTTATATGTTCAGAACCATTGGAACTGAAAATGAAGAAACAAGACTGCAGGGCCATTAACCTTTAAATAAGCTCACTTTGTGAACTCATTTCCACTTAAACCAAAAGAATCTAATAACATGAGAGGAACAGACAGCTCAGCTTTATTTTATGACTCATACATAAGTCTTTTTTTTTCTTTCAAAAACATACAGGTGACTCTCGATGGCTCTAACTCTGATCTCTCGAAGTTCTCGATCTCTCAAAGTGAACCTCCGGTCCCGTTTTTTCCCTCTATATAATTAAGCAAATTTACTCCTGATCTCTCTAACTTCTATCTCTCGAAGTTCTCTATCTCTCGAACCAAAATCTTGGTCCCGTTACACATATTTCATTGAATTTTACTCTCTATCTCTCGAAGTTTTTATTGCGCGTTTATACACGCCAATCAAGCGTAAAATTGATGCAGTCTGGACTTACCTGGAAACAATGAAAGCCTAGGGCTGGCATGGAGGTGTTAAGAAGAAAATACGGTTGTTACCACTATCGGCCTAGTAAATTCGTCAAAAATAAACAATGATGCCTTCAGAAATAAAGTGTTGATATATTTTGTACACGATCAGGTCTATCTGATCACGGATGTAAAATGGCGCCAAAACGTCACACAAACGCTACGTAAATCTCAAAACCATACCATGTTTCAATATATTCTCTAAAAATGGCAGTTTTTATATCTTTGATCGCAAAATTCACTTTGGCCGCAATGAACGCGATTCATGAAACTTACATATATTTTTTATAACGCAAAAATGTTTCGATTTAACAACATCTTGTGAATCGCGTTTGCTGCGGCCAATGTTGAAATTGAGTTTATATGCCTTCTTTGTTATTCCGGATTTCAAGTTGAGAAATCTAATGTGAAATCATTTTTCAATAAAGGCACCGTAATTGCTGTTAATTTTTTTTTAAGAAAGTTACAAAATAAGTAAATAAGTCTAATCATTATCATTAAGAACATAGACTGAACAATAAATTAGGTAGACAATATATGTTATCCACCCTTCAGGTGAAAACTATCGATAGGGATAACGTTAGATCAGCATGCTTAAAGATTGAAGTTAAAGTGTTTATCTGACCCCCCCCCCCCCCCCCCCCAAAAAAAAAAATGTAACAGAGAAAGATTGTAATAGTACGCAAATAAGAAAATATTTAAATAATCAAGATTTTTAGCACTTTTTATGTTTGTTTTGCAACTGATATAATTGTTTGATTCTCGCCTGGAAATGCTTATGAATATTACGCAATAGATTCATTGATGACGTCACAATAGATCGTGTAAAAAATACTTTTTTCAACTTTTTTTAAGTTGCTGACTTGCTGTTGATAATATTTTTTAGAACTTCATAATTCCTTAGAAAAGGTAATTTGAAAGATATATGACAATTTATAATTGTGAAGAGATCCTGAGATTATGTGGACGAGAAAGGTAAATTGTTTTTTTTTTTTTTGTTCAAGTAAATTCAATCGATCTAGGCCTACTTATTTAAAATAAGAATCAAAATGTTTGTAAAATTTCTAACAAATAAATTGTTGCATGTTCCTTCTGAAATACGTTCTGAAATCCAGGAAAAGAAAATATGATAGATTATTTTTTTCAAGGTAAGCTGTCCAACAAAACTAGTCATTGTTGCTGTAAATATCAATATCTCGTACACCCGATGGTATTAAGATCATATAAGTGGGCTTTATTGTTTTCAGTGTATTATGTAAAATGAATAAAATCCACTGCCTTTATGTATATTTAGTGGTGCATATTGCATAATACATGTACATGTTACAAGTTCATTACACTGTTTATAAGTATAGAATGTAATTTAATTATAAAATTGGGGGGGGGGGGGGTGGGCACGCCCCTTCGTTTGAGAGAACCGGGTTTGTTTTATTTTTAATTTTATTCTTTTTATACAATTTACCTGTGTAATAATTTCAAATAATTCCACACGTAACATTCAGAAACCTAGTTTTTTGACTGATTCATAAACATGTTCTTGCAAAAAAAAAAATCTTAACCTCCCCCCCCCCCCTCTCCCGTCCCTTCCCGTGACAATCTGTAAGTATGTACCTTGTTTTTCCTTCTAAAAACAATACTTGAACTGACTCCGCATTGTCAGTTCCTCCATAAATTGCAACAAAGTTGTAAGGGGTTATATAAATGAGTTATAAATAGATAATATATACAAGTGCGTGCGAATAAACAGATGAATAAGTATTCATTTTCTGGCTTGCACTTGCATTTTGTCTTATTACGACTTGCTTTCCTTATTTTACTCCAGCAATTGCATTTTAGTGTCATTGTTCAAAAAAGTTGTGTGAAATCGGATTCCGAATTTTCTTTCGTCGACTTGAAAACAGACAGCGGTAAATAAGCAAATACAATTGAATTTCAATTGACGACATTATAAGTAAATGCATAAAAGGCAGTCCGATTAAAATCAAACCTTCACTAGCTCCTTTTTATTTTGTTTGTCGCGTGAAGGGTGGTGTCTTCTATAAATATTTACAAGAACATTTGGACAATTAATGAAGTATATTCTGACATTGACTGGGGGTATCTACACCCGTCAAAAACACTGAACGTAGTTTTGATTTTTTAATGCTTGTCAAATTTACTGGGAATTTAATGAAATGGTCTGTAAACATCTTCGAAAAACTCATTCAGTCATACAGTGGTTTAAAAGTAAATATTTCCATTTCTAACTTTTCTCTCTGTGATAACTTTTTGAGAGCTAGCGGAGTTAATTTCTTGATAATTCTACCGGAATTTAAATGGTAGGTCAATATGTCAGGAGCTAAGGAGGCCTAATATGCATGCAAATCTTGTGCACATCTGTCTCGGAGCCTGACGCTAAGGATGCCAAATATGCATGAAAATCTTGTGTGGCTGCCTTTGTGTTTGATGTCAGTGGGCGAGGGCTTTTGAAATTGGGATGGGAATCATCGTGTAATTTAAATCCATGTCTGCATTTTTAAAGTCTAAATCTACAATTTAATTTCACAATGAAATGGAAATATAAGGAATCACTGTCTAGTTAGGAGGGTATGTCAGGGACATCAACAATAGTGGGAAACATGGGATAATTTAAGCATAACGGGCTTCATTCACAAACATGACAAAATTGATGGAAGCGTGTTGTTTTGCGACTTTGCTTCAGGAAGTCTTAGAGCTAGCATCAAGAAGCTCTAAGGTTAGGACTTTGTGTCCAGGTACAGACTTTGTATTCGTGGACGACATTATTTGCCGGTACTGAAGAGGTCCAGACACTTAGGGAGAACTCATGCTAAGCTTAGGTTCGAAGCTTCCCTAAGCCGGGGGGGGGGGGGGGGGGGAAGTACACTGTATATGCAACTTATACTGCCTTGCTACATGTAGGTTTTCAGCAACGGCGAGCCTGTGTAACCTTTGGATGGGTGACCGCTTCACGTCATAATTATAAATACATGTGCAATGTACATTATTTTAGAAGCATAATAACAGACCCGACTACCACAAATACTAAATACAGATTATATGTGATTGTCAAAAGGACAGAGGATGACATAGCTGTCGTCGTTGGGAATATTTTCTCTTTCATACACGTAAGATAAATATATTTGCCTGTTCTTTGTTTTTAAAAAAATATGTAACCTTATTCAGCTTCATATCAATAATGAGTATATACTATTAAAAAGCAGGGACGTGGTATCACTTTTTCTCCCGACATTACCTTTACTATAGAAAATGTTCACTCAAAGTAAGGTTGGACCCTCCACACTTCAGCACAGTACAGTGTTATAAAGAAAATTTACCCCAAAAACTTTGAATTAAAAGGTAGTTGGTCTTGAAAAAAGTTAGCCACAACCCCACCCCCCCCCCCCCCCAACCCACGAAATAGGATTTTCGACTTTGAGCAACTTTTAACTTCTCGGGGTTTTTTTTGTTTTTGTTTTTTTTTTTGTTTTTGTTTTTTTGCTCGTCAACTTTTTCAGGTAAGTAAAAAAAAAAATTCTCAGGTTGCCCCCCCCCCACTTTCGAAAACGATGCTACGTGCCTGAAAAATACTATAGTGTAGTATTAAAACCGAAACAAAGTAATGCATAGATAATGTCTTAGCTAAATCAAAAATAAATCTTTAATAGGAAAAAAATATCAAGGAAAATGCTGGAATATAAAAACTGATTTTTATGTTGCAGTCAAGATTTTATACGCAGTAAAATAGCACACCTTGCACTTTCAAGTGTACATACATAAAATTATGTATGTATATTCTCGTACATGTGTATACCTAAATAAGTAAATAAAAGATAAGCATGATTGTATCGTATACTGGTATTTCAAAATTTAATGTAGTATTTCAATTAATATCATGAATTTTAGGGAAATGGAGAGGGTAAAAAATTCTGACAATAAATACGCTTTCTTGATGAAATAGTTTTTCTCGGAAAATTATCTCCTTAATTGACCCACGGTTATTGTAAATATCAATTCATATAAAGAAAAAACAAGAAAACATTGATGTAACCATCAATTGTCGCCCGGGAAATATATAAAGTAAACAATGGAAATAAGTCTTGATCATCAAATCGCTTAGATATGTGTGAAAAGTCATGCGTCTAATTGATGGAGACGATAGTGACGAATATTTTGAAAACTCACAGTCGGATAAAAAATCTAACAAATATGGTACCATTTAAAACTTGATCAATTCCTCAAGTAAATGTTGGCTGCATAAAATATAAATTGAAGTTAGACACATGCATCAACTATATTCAAAAATGTATTTTAATTTTCAACAGGTTGGGGGGAAACGTAAATCATGGTAAATTCCGCTATAATAGTGGTATCTCACTATTATAGTGAAATTACGCTATATTTTCCGTCGTGGATACCCTCAATTTCATCCGATACCATGCAAGGCGTTTGAACCGCAAGTCATGGTGGGTATTAAAATGAACAAAAACTGTCATACTTGCATGTTTTGAATTTTAATAAATTTTCTACCGTTGCGTTTATTGATACGAGCACTCTTTTTTTAACGGAAGTTGCATTTTTAACATAGCAACCGATGATTGCGGGGGGTAATTAAGCCTGTTTGAATCTCACTTATTGCTCATTAATGTGCACAAATTGACGCTTGTTGCGATTGTCAACTTAAACTGGAAAGGGTTTATTTAATTAAACAAGAAAAAGATTATTTCTGTCTGCATGGTTACGCGTATGGAGGCCCGTTATGGTAAACGGAAAGACCCATTATTATCGCAGCGGCTGATCTTTCTGTGCATGGTTGTGTTAGATAGTGAACATGGGAATTGAGAAGTAATTTTTGTTATAATTCAGCATAATAATTCTTCATTGATAACATGTAGAAAATCATAAGTAAAATATTTTTTTTAATGCTTGATAAAATTAAAATATTATTGTTATAAAGTTTCAATTTCATTGTTATTTCTCATCAAGATATTTGATATTTTTTGACTATATAAAAAGAGTTTACAAAAGGTACTGTATAGAAATAAAAGGAAGTTATGAATTTCCGGTTGCATCATAACGACGTGGTACATATAGTTCATGGTTAATAAAAATCAAAAACTGTTCAGCTCATAAAAATTGAATATGTTACAGCTGCGAATGATGTGAATGATAAAAGGATAATTTCGATTCCATTTTTTGCAAAGCGCCTTGCGGCATAACCTATACTGCATAAACGATAGGAATTATCACGTGATCAGGACCCAGGGTACACGTTGTTCGGTCATTTTTATTTCAGACTGTCTTCAAAGCAATATAAATGAATATATATTTTTTTTTGAAATAAGTACGCACATAGATATTTAAGTGCATTTGCTCATCAGATGGATTAATCGATGTAATCAAGTCCATAGGAGTCGGAGGCAAATTGAAAGGAGGGGGGGGGTAAACCAACAAAAAAGGTAAACCCCAATTTTCAATACATAGAAAATGTCTATCACTGCAATATAAAAAAAAGTGGGGGCTAAGCCCCCTCCCCCTCGTTTCTGGCGCATATGAAGTCAGTGATAAAAGATTTGATTGAAAATGAAAATACAGTGGACCTTCAGATATTCGGACGCCAGATATCCGGATGCTTTAGTATCCGGACGCTTTTTCATCGGAACAGAATTTTAAAATGTTATTGTGTCTTGTTTAACTGGTGATTCAGGTATCCGGACAATTCACAGATCCGGACAAATTGACTGGGAACCAAAGCGTCCGAATAAATGAGGCTCCACTGTATACGCTTCTCGAGATTCTAGTTCAGCTTTGAATATCTTGTACTTCCATTGCATGGTTATGCATTCAAAATTGTGATGGTACTTTTTTCAAATGCTAAATTGTTTTCGGCCGATTTGATCTTTACATCAATTTTTGATTGTGGAAAATATGAATTGAGTCAAAGATATTTTAGACACATCTTATGCTGAATATTGAGCAGTGGTGATTGGTTATTTCCTTGTGTTTTAAACAATAATACAATGGCATAATTCTAAAAGCTTGAAAAATTAATACTTTTGGTGTGATTTTTTGCTACATTCTTTCATTTCCTAGAACATAATTAGATATAAATATTTTTCAAATAGCAAGAAAAAACTATAGCTATTTCTCTCAGATTTTAAAGCTAAATCATTCTTGCCTAAGTGCATAACCATAAAGTGTTCAATAAGATACATTTGTGCAGAGTTAAAAAGATTGTTCCAATCATATTTATTTGAACATGTGATTGTGTTAAAATAAGGTTACAGGCACTCTTGTCAAATATTCCGGACACCAAAATAAATCTTTTTTCTGAAATAAACAATTAACCAGCAGAAATTAAAGATTATATATATTTTCTAGAATCGTTTTTATTTTTTAAAAAGTAATTTTTTGATTATTCATTATAAATTGATTTTGTAAAGAGGGTAGAAATCGAGTTTATCAATATACTCTTTTTATTTTTGCCATAATGTGTTCTTCCGTTTTCCATAACGAGCCTCCATACCCGTAACCATGCAGACAGATATAATCTTTTTCTTGTTTAATTAAATAAAACCTTTTCAGTGCAAGCTGACAATTGTAACAAGCATCAATTTGTGCACGTAAATGAGCAATAAGTGAGATTTAAACAGGCTTAGATACCCCTCCAATCATCGGTTGCTATGTTAAAAATGCAACTTCCGTTAAAAAAAGAGTGCTCGCATTATTAAACGCAACGGTAGAAAATTTATTAAAATTCAAAACGTGCAAGCATGACAGTTTTTGTTCATTTTAATACCCACCATGACTTGCGGTTCAAACGCCTTGCATGGTATCGGGTGAAATTGAGGGTATTCACGACGGGAAATATAGCGTAATTTCACTATAATAGTGAAATACCACTATTATAGCGGGATTTACGTTTCTCCCCAACCTGTTCAATTTTCGAATATAAAACACGAACTGTGCAGAGTACGTTTTTATGCGAGAAGTAAAATTCGATGTTCTAAAAAAAGGGACCTGTCATTTTTTCCACAGTAAATGATAAGCAAATTTATATATTAAATATGAAAAAAAACATATATTTTTTACAGATTCACTTTATGGAAGTAAATATATTGTGTATCTCCTAATTTATACAGGAAAGAACAATCTGATTAACAATCTTTCCAATGTTTAGAAAACCTTTAATTCTGAATAACTACTTCTGCCCCAATCCTCATACACCAACACTTAAACTTATATGTATAGAGCAGCCCGGTCCTCCGGGCTGCAAAAATGAAAGGTTTAATTTAGAACAGATGAAATAAAAAAAAAGATAAGTAAAAAATAGACTTAAATATGAATTTATTTAAGAGAATATATTTTTTAGGTTGAGAAATGTACAATTCTTTACGCTGTACAGGAATCATTACGTTAAATTTGATAACGCCATGTGAACGTTACGACGTCATGACGTCGTCAGTGTTATTTTCTTAAGAAAACATTGCATTTTTAGTGAGTTGTGTAGGGAAAACGGTTTGAGATATTTTCAAAAAATAAATTGATTTAGAACAGGGGTATCCAAGACACATCATTTAAATATTATCGCCAGATTTTGGGACTAGGCGGATTTTGGTGCCTAACGTACCTTCTTTTTTGGTGTTTACATAGATGACACTACACCTATGGGTCGTTGTTTTGATATAATTAATTGGTTATTAATTACAAGGAAAATTACAAACAAATTCACAACTTATTTCGAATTGAAACTGAAACGATAATTTTTAGAAATTTAATTTATAGATGTTCGTTTCAGTAAGTTCCGATAGACTATGAACTCTTATTATGATTAAATAGAGTCTAAATAATTCCAGCATGGCAAATATTGTACAAGAAAATTCCTTTCTCACGGACTGAATACCGATTAAGAAAAATCGGTGAACACTGGTGAAGGTCCCGATCAAGCCGCGGAATAGCCAAACCGACAATGGCTATTCGGGTTTCATGTAATCATGAAATAAGAACAAATAAATACTGAAACTTTAGAAATTCGTTTTATTTATTCGAAATACAATCATTGTTGTTGATATCACGTAAATTACCTGTCAAATACAATTGAAAACGTGCAATGACTTTATTTACATATACTTCCGGTATTTATAAAAGTAGAACTTCAGTGATCAGAGCTGAGAATTCCGGATTTTTTTTACTTTCTATCTCTCGAACCCTTCGATCTCTCGAACTTTTCTTGCGTTCCCTTGAACTTCGAGAGATCAAGAGTCACCTGTAATTTATATTTTAGTGTAACTGCGTACCTTTGGAAGATTGACATCGTTGATGGACTTAAGCACCAGGACTTCCTCTCGATGTTCTGGGTATTTCAGCTTCAGATTCCCGGCGGCCGTCAGCACTGACTTGACGGCCCTCATGCCATAATCATAGTGATGCTGGGAAGACAGTTGTTCTGAACACAATCGGTACGTGGCCACAATCTTAGTGGACATACTGCGGGCATCCACAAATCCCATAGAGTACAGAGAAATCTCCGCAATCATAGCATAGTCTGGGACCATGATGGCTACAGTTCGGAATAATACCTGAAACATAACATTCATTTTGGATTATTTAAAATCAAAACTATAAAATAATAGAATTAAATGGAGTAAGGGATTTCTTTGATATAAAAATGTTATTTTATGAAAATTAAGCATTATTACAGCAAATAACATCTGCTGTTTGACAAATGAATCAATCATGCCCAACATTTGTCCTTGACCTTTTCACATGAATAAATCATATCCAACATTTGTCCTTGACCTTTTCACATGAATAAATCATATCCAACATTTGTTCCCTGATCTTTTCACATGAATAAATCAAATCCAACATTTGTTCTAGAACTTTTCACATGAATAAATCATGTTAAAAAATTTGTCCTTGACCTTTAAATTGACCATTCTCTCCAAGTTACACATCTTTTCTTACTTTCAGGTTGTCGGGAAGCTCTGCTCGCCCCGCGTACCCAGGGTTCATCGTGATGAAGATGGTACAGGTGGGGTCGAGTCTGATCTGAGTCCCCTCAAACATAAACAGCTGAACCTGTTCAGCTATAGCCCTCTGTATGGTCTGGACCTGCTGGGCTATCACAGACAACACCTACAGAGAAGACACAGTCAGTCCTAAATGACTTGCATGCTTCATTTTCATCAGTATTATGTAAATGACTTGGATATTTCTTTTACCAGGTATAAGTACATTTTCATTTCCTTCCAAGATTATAACATTCAAGATTACACTCATCACACATAAAATGTAAACAAGAGGCCCATGGGCCACATCGCTCACCTGAGCACTGCGGCTAGGAAAAAGTAGAAATTGGTTTATTATTGAAAAGTTTAAATCTTAAAGTAGTCCCATGACCAATCATGGCTTTGCTATTCTTGAGAAGAAGATTTTTAAAGAATTTTCATATATATTTGTTTGTAAAACTTGGTTGGCCATTTTGGCCCCGCCCTACCCCCGGGGGTCATAATTTGAACAAACTTGAATCTACACTACCTGAGGATGCTTCCATAATAAATATGATCAATTATAGGTTTGCTTTTCTTGAGAAGAAGATTTTTAAAGAATTTCCCTATATATTTCTATGTAAAACTTTGGTCGTCCACTGTGGCCCCGCCCTACCCCCAGGGGTCATGATTTGAACAAACTTGAATCTACACTACCTGAGGATGCTTCCATATAAGTTTCATCTTTCCTGGCACAGTGGTTCTTGAGAAGAAGATTTTTAAAGAATTTTCCTATATATTTCTATGTAAAACTTTGGTCGGCCATTGTGGCCACGCCCTACCCCCGGGGGTCATGATTTGAACAAATTTGAATCTACACTACCTGAGGATGCTTCCGTATAAGTTTCATCTTTCCTGGCACAGTGGTTCTTGAGAAGAAGACTTTTAAAGAATTTTCCTATATATTTCTATGTAAAACTTTGGTCGGCCATTGTGGCCACGCCCTACCCCCGGGGGTCATTATTTGAATCTACACTACCTTAGGATATTTCCCTATAAGTTTCATCTTTCCTGGCACAGTGGTTCTTGAGAAGAAGACTTTTAAAGAATTTTCCTATATGTTCCTATGTAAAACTTTGGTCAGCCATTGTGGCCCCGCCCTACCCCCGGGGTCAAGATTTGAGCAAACTTGAATCTACACTACTTGAGGATACTTCCATATAAGTTTCATCTTTCCTGGCACAGTGGTTCTGGAGAAGAAGATTTTTAAAGAATTTTCCTATATATTTCTATGTAAAATTTGGTCGGCCATTGTAGTCCGGCCCTACCCCCGGGGGTCATGATTTGAACAAACTTGAATCTACACTACCTGAGGATGCTTCCATATAAGTTTCATCTTTCCTGGCACAGTGGTTCTTGAGAAGAAGATTTTTAAATCATGCCACCAAATTTTTATTAATTCCCAATTATCTCCCCTTGAATGAGGGTGTGGCCCTTCATTTGAACAAACTTGAATCCCCTTCACCCAAGGATGCTTTGTGGCAAGTTTGGTTGAAATTGGCCCAACGGTTCTTGAGAAGAAGTCGAAAATGTGAAAAGTTTACAGACAGACAGACAGACGGACGGACAGATGGACTACAGACAAAATGTGATCAGAAAAGCTCACTTGAGCCTTTGGCTCAGGTGAGCTAAAAAGTTGAAGATAACAGTGATGCATGGCTCTCATAAAAACTACACGCAATATTAATTTGGTAACAGAGCATAAACACAGACCCCCAGAAACTCCAGAGGTGGGATCAGGAGCCTAGATAAAGACTTCGGAAACAAAACAACAAACCTCAAGTTCAATACGGTTGAACTCATCAAAGCATGCCCACGCCCCTGACTGGGCCAGACCCTTGAAGAATTTGCCCATGGCTTTGTAGTCCAGCCCATCTGAGCAGTTAAACACCACGCACTGCTTGGCCACGGCTTTAGCCAGATCTTTAGAGGTCTCTGTCTTCCCTGTACCCGCCGGTCCCTCGGGGGCACCGCCCAGATTCAGGAGTAGGGCTCCCATCAGTGTTCTACAATGAAAGGTAAATATATTTATTATACATTCCTCTGCAAGATTACAAACAACACTTGAAAATATTTCAGTTCAGTACAGTTAAATTGCCAACCATTCTGACACCTTTGCAATCTTCTTCACTGAAAATATGGACCTTTATTTTTGATTCTCATTTTACCCTTTTCCAAGTCCTTTTCACTGTACTTGCAACATCTTGTCTAATAGTATATATTCTGACACAAAATTTGTGTCTAAATTCACTCCAGATAAGACAGATTTCTCTGAAGTACCTTAAAGTAACACTGACTTTCCATCCCCACACTTAGACAATCTCAAAGCTTTTGGACATTCAATCACATCTGCAAATTTCAAATATCCCTTTAAGCCTTACCTGTAGCACCTGTCGGTCAGTGGAGTGATGACCAGTCTGCCTGTGTTGCCCAGATACTCGTAGGCATACGCCACAGT